AATTGGGTAGGCTAAATTGTCCGTAGTGTGTATGAGTGTGTGTGTGCGTTTGGATGTTTCCCAGGGATGAGTTGCGGCTGGAAGGGCATCCGCTGCGTAAAAATGTGCTGGATCAGTCAGAGGTTCATTCCGCTGTGGCGACCCCAGATTAATAAAGGGACTAAGCCGACAATAAAATGAATGAATGAATCGGGAGAGAAGATACCGGCCACTGAGCGGCAGAGTTCAAAACTTTTCAACTCACAAGCAAAGATTTTAGATCCACAAAAAAGGCCAGAACAGAAGCAAAAGGAATGAGCACACGATCTCCTATGTGGAGCTGCTCTGACACAATCTGCATTGTAAAAGCGCTGTACAAATATAGATGAACTGAACTGACCAATAAAACATGTGGGTGTAACTGCATGAAACGGCAATAGTTCATTTTTCCCAGTGCATTTTTTTATCAATGGAATTTCCTTTAATTAAATGTTTTTTTATTACTTTTTTATTATTATTTTTAATTACAATTTACTTAACTTCAAAATCTTCATATGCTTGTTTGAATGATAAAGACACAGTATTACTCCAGCATGCATGGGTTTAAAACTTTGTAACTCACAAGCAAACTCAATAAGACAAAAAGGTTTTGCAATTCAAAATACATTTTATTATCATTAACAGGAGTTTTTTAATTAAATGTTTTTTAATTGCAATATTACATTTTTTAATACTATGTAGTTCCCTAAAACTAAATATTTTTGAATAATAAAGAAACAAATCTCTCTCATATACAGTTCAGATCAGAATTACCCCCCCCCCCCTACCCGGTTATTTTTCCCCCAATTTCTATTTAGCAGAGAGCAGATTTCTCCAACACATTTCTAATCATAACAGTGTTAATTACTCATCTGCCATGATGACAGCACATAATATTAGTCTAGATATTCTTCAAGACACTAGTGTTCAGCTTACAGTGACATGTAAAGGCTTCACTAGGGTAATTAGGGTAAAGTTAGGGTAATTAGGCAAGTCATTGTATAACAGTGGTTTGTTCTGGAGACAATCCAACACTAATATTGCTGAAGGGGTGAATAATATTGACCTTAACATGACTTTAAAAGATTAAGAACTGCTTTTATTCCAGCCGAAATAAAACAAATCAGACTTTCTCCAGAAGAACAAATATTAGAGGAAATACTGAGAACAACTCCACAATCTGAGAAACATCATGAGTGGAATATTTAAACTAGAAAACAAAAATTCAAAGGGAGCTAATAGTTCTGACTTTAAATGCATACACACACACACACACACACACACACACTGTATAATCATATATATTTGACGAATATAAACTTATTCATTCATTTTCTTGTCAGCTTAGTCCCTTTATTAATCCGGGGTCGCCACAGCGGAATGAACCGCCAACTTATCCAGCAAGTTTTTACGCAGCGGATGCCCTTCCAGCCGCAACCCATCTCTGGGAAGAATATAAACTTATTTTATTTAAATTAGTTGTCAATAAACAAGTTCTGTTTCATTAAGTTGTACTAAAAACTAAGCTGGTTTACCCTAAATTTAAAATGAAAGTATTAAACTGTAAATTTAAAATGAATGGAGCTGAATAATGGAAATCACTACAGTGAAGAAGCGTGTTTACTGCCAGAGACCAGCAGAGGGCGACAACCATCTTCATTTACCTCATCAGTGGACTTTTTACTCTCATCGTTGTCGTCTTCCAGTTCTTCTTCCCCTGGTCAACACACAATACACTCAGATTACAACAACAACAACATCAATAAAACACACACACACACACACACACACACACACACACACACACACACACACACACACACACACACACACCTCTGTCTTCACTGCTGGATCCTGTGGACTTCATTGTCTTCAGTCTGCGCTCTGCTGCATCACTGTCCGCCATCTCCTGATGGAGTGATCCTGATACACAAACACATTCACTTTAATATTCAGCAACACACTGAACACCTTAACACACACACACACACACACACACACACACATGCCAGTTGACCAAACTGACGGAGCCGCTGAACTGTTCTTCTGTGGATCCAAACTAAACTAGACTGCGAGTGTTTTCCTGCAGTACACGTCTCTGTTTAAGCTGATTTATTCAGGAAAGACAGTCGCCAATGTCACTGAGTGTAACCATAGTTTCTATGTACAGATATATTTATGATTAAAACAAGAATCATTTGACAACAGATTAAAGATTCTATTGAATACAATACAGGCTCATCATCATATATGCAGCTGAAGTCAGAATTATTCACCCCCTTTGATTGTTTTCTAGTTTAAATATTTCCCTTAGGATTGTTGAACAGATTGAGGAAATGTTCACAGTATGTCTGATAATATTTGTTCTTCTGGAGAAAGTCTTATTTGTTTAATTCAACTAGAGTAAAAGCAGGTTTTAATTGTTTTAAACACCATTTTAAGCTCAATATTATTGGCCCCTTCAGCAATATTAGTGTTGGAT